TCGGGTCACTAGTCGGTCATACCGCAGGAACGCGATGTCTCCCCTCGCCCTGGCCTCCCTTAACATCGGCATCAACTCCCTTCTTCTCTTCCTCACAAACTCGGTGTAATCTTCATTTATATAAATATTAAATCCTTTAAGCTTCTTTGCTTGTTGCAGTATGTGTGCCTTATCTTTCTCTTTCATCAACTTTACCATCACCGCCCTCGGTCCCCGATCAGAAGGGTTCTCGACTCTGTGAGCCCGCTCCATCTCAATTTTTTGATGAATTTGCAGTTTATCCTTTAATATTTCCTTCACCTTACATTCCGCTTCCGTCCAGCTTTCTCCAGCTGACTCCTTGATTCCCTCAAAGATCAGTTTTTTTCGCTTGGACTGTACTTCCAAATGCTCAGTTTTATCCGTTATGGCTATTAAACTCTCACAAGTTTTGTAGACATCATCCCTTGTTTCCTTGGTTTGTATTTTCTGTTCACCCATGGCTGCTTTAATCACATCCACATCTCGCTGGGTAAACTGCAAACTCGTTTTATTTCCTGTATTTCTCTGGTCATGTCGTCGAGTCTCTTGTTATTTGTCTCCATAAGTAGTTGCACAAAACCTTTGAAGTTATCTTGTTGTTGGCTCAACAGTGCAGTGTACATCTGCTTCTGCTGACTCAACATCTCTGTTACTTGCGCCGCTGAAATATAATCCTCTTCTGCCTCAACATCCTCGTTCGCTTCTGATTTATTAGCTCTTTTCCCTCTTGGAGGCATTTTAATAGTTGTAGAATTTGTTCAAAGACATGAAAATGTAGAAGATGTGAAAAAAAGTCCTATCCTCATTTATCTACTATGTGAATTATTTGAAATAAATTATCAAATTAAATTCTTAAAGATATGGTCTGTATTAATAATAGTATCCAAATAGTCACATATTTCCACTGTTGATGTATTGAAAACTTTGTTAAAACTTCCTTGACATGCTGAAGCACAGCTCCTCTGGTTGGTTAATCCTGAACCTTGCATGATAGCTTTTAGTTTGTGATTGTGTGTGTGTAAATGGGTGAAAAATGACAAATTCTAAATGGCTTACTACTTAATAAAACACACCTGGATTTGGATCATGGTGTCTCTTCCTGTGTGACCTTACATAATCTAATTCAAATGGCAAAGCAACAATGTAAAATTAAAGCTGTGGACACACTGACCTTTGACCCTGTAGTTAGACTGAGGTATCTGCAGCACAACACTGCCTTTGTTCTGCCTGTTCTTTTTGTTAAATAAAAATTTGTACTTATTTCTTTTTGGGTGTGTCATTCAAGGAGCATCATTGTGGTTAGTCAATAGTAACACCTACAGCCTGACTTGGAATCAGTTTGTACTCTACAAAAAAACTTGCACCTCATGAAGTCAGTTTCAGTCAAATATGCAGTATTTAAATGATGTACTGAAACTCATTCACAGAAATAGTGACGGTGTGAATGAGCCTACTGGATGAGGCTACCAGTCTTTGAGATGCTCTATGTAGTATTTAGCCTATCTAATAATGTGTCTAAAGACTTGTGCATCTAACCTATCACATCTCTCTGCCTTTACCTATCGTACCTCCTCCTTCCAGGCCTAACCTCTTTAAGAGGCCGGGTCCTCTCAGAGGATCAGTTCAGCTGCTCCATCTGTCTGGAGGTGTTTGTGGAGCCAGTATCTACACCCTGCGGCCACAGCTTCTGTAAGGCTTGCCTGCAGGGATATTGGGACCACAGCAAGAAGTTCTGCTGCCCCATGTGCAAGAAAACCTACTCCAGAAAACCTGAGATGAGTGTCAACAGAGTCCTGGCTGAAATCTCCTCCCAGTTCCAGGGGCTGGTAATGGCTGGAGGGACTGGTGAAGGTGGAGAAGCTGGAGGAACCATCTCACGGGGATCCACACTGACTCCAAACTCAAGTGTACCCCACAGCGGCTCTCCAGGGCCGGATACTGGGGAGTTTGCACAGGTCGGGGAGGTTCCCTGTGATGCCTGTATTGGGAGGAAGCTAAAGGCACTCAAGTCTTGCGTGAACTGCCCCGGGTCTTTCTGTGAGGCCCACCTCAGACATCATAAAAAGGTCAGTTACTTTTGTTTTTAAGGTAATAAATTCCATTTTTTTATGTACAGACAAATTGACTGATTGATTGATTTTATTCTTTCAAGCATGTAAAGACAGTCGATATGTCAACACACATAATTTCACACATATCCACAAATGCAAATCCATTATCAATTTGCTTATACCTAGTACATGCTTGAATGGAGTAGGAAGAAGTCAGACTTATCTAGTCCTACCCCATAACATCATCTTACCATCATTGGTTTGCAAGCAGTATTTCTACATAGATAATTTTGTTCTACACCACACAAGTAATATACTAAAAAATTATTACAGATTGTTAACATTCTTACATAATTATATTCTTAGATAATTATCTTCTACACCACACAAGTAATATAGTAAAGAATTATTACATAGTGTTATCATTCTTACACCACACCCACACTGTTCCAACTAATTAATCATTAAGCCTGTTCTTGCATATATCTTGATTGACACATACCTTTATACTTATGTTTAAACTCATCAATTCTATTACTATTTTTTATGTCCACACTTAAATTATTCCATAGTTTTACCCCACTTATGGAAATACAAAA